AGGGATGAGTGTCACGTATTATTATATTCATCAAAGCAGTTCCTGAATGACATGGACACAGGCTGTGGTGTGTTTGTAATAGTCATTGGTTATTGGATGCATTCTGATGTATTCTGATTTACAATGGCCTTGGCACTGATGTCATCTCAAATCTGCTTAAATCATAACATTACCCAATGCATCCACTTACGCAGCATTGCTCACATGAAAGCCAATGCTATTCAAAGTATCTCGTCTGAGCCATGTTTCTTTAGCTCAGACGTATTTATTGGTTATACGATGCCTGCCTTGAACATGCACACGCGTACAGTAGTATAGTAAAGGGTTCACATGTTAACGCACTCAAGCTCATTTATACATTTACTCCCTGTTGGTTGGTAACTATGGGCTATCAATACTTGCATGCACTCTCTTCTCTATAATAACTGATGTAATTAAAGTGTACTTTCCTCCTTGAGTGCTTAGAGCTATGTAGTATTGTTACTACCGGGACTATTTGTGGTCTCTCTGTGTGCATATATGTATGCATGTGTGTGTCCCTTGTAACTGATTGTTATAATACATGTACACACATATTTCCCCCTCCTCTCTCTCTCTCTCTCTATTTCTTGATTCTCCCCTCACTATAGCAAAAAAGATACCCATTCTATTGTTCACTGGTAACTTAGAGGGCGAGATGACAAAGTGGGAGAGACTCCAGCTGAATCCATTTATGTACAGGTAGTGCTGTGAACTTTAAGTGAATCTAATGAATTGTTTTGACAATCTGTAGTTGACCTTTTAATAGCCATTATATACCTTATTTGGCATTTTTGATTATTCGTGCTTTCCAACAGTTAATTGCCTTCCCTCTCCTTTTCTCTTAATTTAATTTCTCTAGTAAGGAGACGCTACTCTATAAAGATTATCTGAAACATTTTCTGGAGACTGACTCTGGTGGAAGAAACTTCTCTTTTTTCCTGTACAAATCAGATAAAGTCGGAGGGCAAGACGACTTGTCAGAAACAGAAAGTGAAAAGGCAAAAGTTGAACTCATGAAGGTAAGAGAGAGAGAGAGAGAGACAGGGAGGGAAAGAGAAAGAGAAAGAGATGAGGTGTGAAGGTAGATATAAGAAGAACGTTGTCTAAGCCGTTAAATGTAAACAATCGTTTTTATTTCCAAGTAACATAGATGAGTGTCTACTGGGTGGGTATTTGCGTCTATATTTTTTCCTGTCATCACTCAATTTGATATGGATATTTGAGGGCGGATCAGGATGTCTATCTTAATTCCTGTTCCTCTACTCAACCTGATTATGTTATTGTTGATTACACAAAGGGGAAGCACAATGTTTACCCTATACTCAATACTCATCACAGTATTACACACACACACTCTCTCTCTCAATCATAAGTTTGAGCTACATGAACTTTTTTAATGCATACATTAATAAATAACTGTTTTCTTGGCTCCTAAAAGACTCTTATTTTTACAGATCAATGATCCTAGGTTAATTATTAACATTCTCTGCTCCCTCTAGAACGATTATCGTGGTTTTGTCAAGTCAATATTCCTGGAATCATTAGATTTCCTAGTCTCCTCTGCCAGGGATGGAAAAATATGTGAGTGTCCTTGGACTGCAATAATTATGCACAATAACAGACACAATGAACCATAGTAGTGCCCTACAGTTCAAAAGTTCAAAGAATCTTTTGAATGGCTGCAACAATATTCACGACCTACTAATTGACCGCGGATACCATAGCAACGCTAACTGATCTGTAATGAGATTCATTGCCTACGTCACGGATCAGGCCTTTCTGATCGATTACATAACTTTGTGTAACTTGTGGTTCGTGTTTTGCACGCCTTGTTTGCATATCTGTGCAAACTATACACACCTGCTGATGTAGTCCAAAGGTCACTACACACTTACAATGTATGCAAAAGCCTTGTGCATGCAAGACAACAAGATGCTATGGGAGTTAGCAGAGATAATTTAGACAATAAAGGGAATCAGATTGCAACAAACACACAATTGAGATTGCAAACTTTTATGGTCGCCTTGCCAAGATTAAAGAATAAGGAGCTATAGGCTTTAGGGAGTATTGATAAACATTGCAACTGCAGCAGGGCCACATTTTGCAGCTGCATGCTTATAATATTAATTTTATTATATATAATAAGTCCCAGTCTCTTTGTTGATGTTATCAGTTCAATCTGCCTCCCTATTCTTGCCCAAGGTCCTACTCTTATCATGTCTCATGTTATAATGAACATACTTCCATATGAATACTATAGCCATGCATGCTTAACTTATACTTTGTTGTGCAGTTAAGATTTTTTAAATGTCAGCCATTATGTAATGCACATACATTATATGGCTTATGCTTGGAGTGCAGCCGTGCCCGTTTCTTTGTAATATGATGTGTCTATAGGGTTCATCACACAGGACAAAGTGTGTGTGAATGGGTTATTTTGTAATCTGACTCTCTTTGATTAGTTGCTTACATTCCTCTGATGCTTTGAGTGTTTAGTCTCTCAATCATTTATGGTAGCTAGCGTGAGCCTTAGGCTACTGGGGGTTGTAACTAAGCTATAATAATAATAATAATAATAAAATAATATAAATAATAATAACAATAATAATGATAATAATAATAAATTATAATAATTCTTTTTCATCCCGCACACAACAATTCAATAAGTGGAATTGCGTTTCTTCTAGTAAATGTGGTTGCCGAATGATTTGAGTGGGAAAGGTGTGTTGTTGCCTCTGTATTAGTGGTTTCTGACCTCAAACTGTGGTCTGAAGATAAGGTCAATAGATGTAGTAGGCTAATGGGAGGAGGAGGAGGAGGAACAACCCATTTGTGATTTGCTGAGTTGTAGTGCAGGGTTTGTTTATTCATGTTTAGTGGATTACCATGGAAGCAGCAGGGCGGGTATTATTAATAGGACTATAATGATATTACCCTCTGGTTCCTACTGAACACACACACACACACACATCTACTCATACACTCTGCATTACTATTGCTGTTTTTACTGGGAGAGTACTCTAATTGCTGCATAGTAATAGCATTAATAATGTTGTTGATGATAACCAAAGCATTAAATAAAGCGTTTATACTACTGCAGAGTCACGTATTGTATTGTAGCAGTTCAGCATGAGTCTAAACACCTGTAAACATACAAATTATTGTTGTCTAGGAGTGTGTCTGAGTAGAGAGTAAATATGTAGCATAGTGTGTTAGGTTGAATTATGTGCTAAAAGTTGATCTGTTATTATATGCCTTATGCAAATAACAATGACCTCTCTGTCCCAGTTTAGAGAGGAGAGAGGTAGGAGAGAGAAAGAGAGATGTACTATGAAAACTATGATATGGGCAACACATTTTTTACCGAGTAACCTTTTCTCCTATAAGTATAGACTGAATTGAACCTAGCTATGTGTGTCAGTTCGTAATAATGCTATTCTCCAAATTGTGTAGTGTAATGCTTGCATGAAGAGGTGTATCGGTCAGCTATTAGTAGAAGCCTTCCATGAATTGATAAAAGAAGCATATGACATGACAGACATGTAAACACAAGGCTGCCCCTTTTCTCCCCCTACTATGATACAGTCTATCCCCCATCTCTCACACTCCCCAATGGGATCAGTGGATTATAGGATTAGCAAGCAATGTTTACATCCTCTTTATTACATTAGCTCTTTGTGAAGTGAAGGAGAGAGAGGGAGGATTGTGAAACTAGACAAAACAATGGGAGAGTCCCAGTCTCTGGCCTGCACGGGCCCAGTTTCAAATTGACTATAGCTCATGCAGACCACCCTCTTAATCTTGTTATTGTTATTCTTCGTTTGCATGACTACATCAATTACTCTACATGCTTGCTGTACTTTTCATGCACGAAGCATAACACATGAGAGCCATTAAGGGAGTAATTGCTAGAGATTGCGTGCGCATTGCGCTGGCGGTGTTATTTCGAAGACTCAATTGTTTGTCTGTTGTTTTAACCTTTAAAATAAACAGAAAGGACTTTTGGAAGCATTAATTATAAATTCTGCTTCATTCATAAACTATTGTGTACAAAGAATAAAAAACATTCTCTTCTCTGTTTTCCCTCTTTCACTCTCCCTTCTCTCTCTCTCTCTCTCTCCCTCTCTAAGTTGTCTGGGGGTTTGATAAAAAAGCTGCTGCTGTTTTACGCTCAATGGATCAACAGTCATCTCTCTCAAGCATGAACTCTGATAGAGGACCCACTGAAGAGGTACAGTACCACTACTGTATGTGTATATATATTATAATAATTTTATTTTGTTGCTAGGAATTGGTGACATACGATAGAGTTGCTGGTTTCATATGTGAAAATATCTTGAATGGACACAATGGGCCGGTCCAAGCACTGGTAGCTGTTGAGAACTCCAGCAGCACTAAACATATCTGTCTGGTATGCATGAGAGCTAACACATATCTCTCTTCTTCCTCTTTCTTTGCTTTTCGTTTCCCTTATCTCTTCTTTTTATGTCATTAATCTAGCTGTTTTCTTTCCTTCCCCTTCTCAGATATCTGCCGGTTGGGATTTATCCTTATGCATATGGCTACTCCAGGAAGGAAAGTAAGTTACAATAATAATAATAACAAACATGAGTATAGACATGACTGTCATCCCCCTCCACTTTTTACCTCAGCTTATCACCCACTAGTGATACTGACACTGGTTGCTTATCATGATAATGTAGTTCTTAATTATAATTGATAATTAACCCTGGGGTACTTTTCCACAGCATGACATGTGTATATCCTTTATCTGATCTTGTTGATGTTGTTAGTGATATTGTATTTCATGAACTTTTGGTAACAGTGTCAGGTTTATTTAAATAGAGTCTAAGGTTTAACATAATAATAATAATTAAGTTTAGAGTGTTACGTGATCAATTTTCATTACTATCGGCATTATTATAACATTATCATCATCATCATTATTATTAATTTTGTTGTTGTTATTATTATTATTTATCATTTTTATTGTGATAGACTTGCCGTTCAAATAAAGGACTGTATACCAGAGACAGATAGAGATCACTATGATCTCATCATTACTGATATTGCTTTCAATACTATCAAGTTAGTAAACAGTAACAATATACCAACACTCACTCAATCTCTCATTGTGTTCATGATTTTTTTTGTCCACAGTGACACATTTGCATTCTCTGCTTCCAATGGAAATGCTTATTTGTGGAGTTTCTCACTTAAGAGAACTGAAGTGAAGTTATTGGCTACTCTACGCAACCACACAGACGAGGTGACACAGGTTAGCTTTGAATGTTTCTATGTATACACAATCAGTTAGTGAGTGCATGTGTCACGTATGTGTCAAGGAATGTCATTGATATTTACATACATAACACGATATTGGTATTGTATTGATATGTACATCACAGGTGTGTTGGAACCCTTGCAATCAGAAGTGGGTCACTGGATCTGATGATAGTACCATATGTATATGGGTGAGTTCTATCCCCCCCCTCTCTCTCCCTTTCTCCCTCTCCTTCCTCTCATATCAAAGCATTCCATATTCTTTTATCTTCTTTGTTGATATGCTATGACTTTATGTTGTGACATTATGTACAAGCTTATGACACATTGAATGAGTTCCTGGAAGGATATGTTATTAATCGCATTGATGACTTTGCCCTCTGCCTCTCTCCTTCCTCTCATAGTGTCTCTGTGGTATGTATGCTTGTTCCGTAACCACAGAACACTATTCTCAAAGAGCAGCTGCTCCATATATTATGTAATACAGACTTCTCTCTCTCACACACAAGTGTGTTTCAGAGCAGGTGTTTAAGACAAAGCATGAGGTGTTTCTGTACCACAATTAAGTTGTTCTTGCATAATATCTGGTCTCTTTTACTTAATATTATTTTTATGTGATATTAATTTGTGGCGGGCTATACAAACAAGCTTAATTCTCTGATTGTCATTGATCATTATCTGTTACTAGCCTACTATCATCTTTATCATTATAATTTGGAGAGATGTTTATACATATGATACTAGCATACATTTTTATCATCTGGTGGAGCTATAGTTTTTTAAATTATTATAAAATGATTATATTGATTAAAAAATCTACACATAAATTCTTTAACCACCTACATTGTTCTCTTCTTATTGCATGGGCTATAGCCTTTGCTTCTTTTCAGAAATTGGCTCATGTTTAAAAATGCTCATAACTCAAAAAATATTTGTCAGAATCAGCTCAAACTTTCTACATAGCATAAATACATCAATGTGTATCAGAAAATGTAATAAAATTTGAGGGTCATTTTGGAGCTATTTTTTGGAAAAAACCATGGACTATAGCCTTGGGTATATTTCAAAATTTAGCCGTTTTCTTAAAATGACCGTAACTTAAAAAATTTAAGTTGAAATCAGCTCAAACTTTCTACTTAGTATAAGGACATTAATGTGCATCAAAAAATATAATAAAAATTAGGAGTGATTTTGGAGCCATTTTTGGAAAAAAACCATGGGCTATAGTACAGGACATTTTTCAGAAATTGGAACTTTTATAAAAATGACCATAACTCGAAAACTTTAAGTCAAAATCAGCTCGAGCTTTCACATAGCATAAGGACATCAATATGTATCAGAAAAATTAGCATATTTTTACTTATTATATTAATTTTTTATTTATTTATTTTCAATACAGTCCTCTGATGGATCACAATGTGAGAATACACTAGCAACACGAGGCCCAGTCTCCGTGGTATGTATTGACACTGAATATAATCTACTGATTGTGGGAGTCAAGGAATTAATAAAGTATAAATTTATCATGCATATGTATATATATATATATAGCCACATTTACACTACGCCCTTAAAGCGGTTTGGAACCGGTTTAGAAATAAATCAGTTTATGTGTGGACAATCAAACCAGTTTAAGTACTGAAGCAGTTGTATTATGTATGCAATGTATGTTATGTGTGGACACAATTAAGCTGGTTCCTGAACCGCTTTGATCCAAACTGGTTTGTAGTGTAAACGGGGCTTATGAGACTGTTATATCATACTGTTATACTAGTTAATAATGTATCCATCATTGTACCAGAGTGAATTGTGTATACTGTTTATCAGCAAATGTTGAACTCCCCTCTCTCCCTATAAACTCAATATCCTGTCACCCTATACATGTGTGGTTATGACCTATTGAACTGCATGTCTGCCCTTTCTCACAGCAGCTCATCAATTGCATTACTTTCAATGGAATTATATGTACCATAGCCCCTGCCTCCTATACAGGGCATCCAGTTACCTAATACTCCTACTATGTATAATATTCCTATTTGCTACTTATTTTGGCTTGCCAATGACCTTTAGTGAATCCTTATGTCTGGAGCATGTTTACTTAGACTACAGGGAAGGGCTTACCGGCTTATAAACACATGCATTGGCACTCCCTTCTATTGTGGTAGCCTACCTAGCCTTTCAGAGATCCCTAATATCACAAAATCTATTTTCAAATGCAGCCTTATAAAATTTCGCACAGCCACTATGTCTATTGTGAAATTGATTTTATTATTCAATAGAGTGTACAACGAGAAACTGGATGTGGTGCAAGTCTATCACGGGCACACTGCAGTGATCCAGAGTATAATAGTAGTCCCTGAACTGTCTCAGGTACAGGACGCTTTTAACGCTTTAAATCTTCTCTCTATTATTAAAAATACAATCAATATTTCTCTCCCTCTCTTTTTTTAATTCTTTATCTCCCGTGTTCTTTTCACTCCCTCTCTCTCTCTCTCTCTTTCTCTCCATCCCTAGTACATATCGGCCAGTCAGGATAACACTATGCGTATTTGGAACTCATTCAAGCCAAAGGAAGTCTCAAAGAAACTAAGACGCGAGAGCAGTGACCTCAGTTCTACTGCTACTGATCAGCTAGCATACGACACTGATGATGATGATGACGATGAGCCTTCTTCTCATTAACACAGTCTAATAAGGTCAGACATGTTTTTACATGCATGAACTCTGTGCTTGATTATATAATAATTATAAAGTAGAAACATGCTTAAGTAAAACATGCATATATGGTATTCATATTTGGGTCCAATCATTAAGCATACACTTACTGCAGTAACGTATAGTATCTATCAATGACCTACAGCAAGCAGATATTCATAGCTCATAGCGTGTGCATTTACAATGTATTGCATGTATAAAGTAGCGTGCGCATGTACCACATGTAATGTCTATAATTGCGTAATTGCATGGACTATGAACTCAATGGAATTTCTCTGTACTGCACTGCAGTACTCTCCCTCCCCGCCTTTAGACTGCCTTGTGGTTAATCTCAAGAGTTCAAGACCTTCACGGTTTATTTAATTTCTATTATTTGTATTTGTATTTCCACCACACAGTAGCCGACAGTTATAAATGATTTTTTTTGCACAGCATCACTTATTTTATTTTAATTCTCTCTCTCACTTGAGCAACAACAGATCACTATAGTAATATCTCTATTTTAACTCCATTAATTTTATTTGGCATTATACATTAATTTCTTTGTTATTGTTAACAATTAAGTCATGTGTTCATGTAACTTTATTAATATTTCTTGTTAGATTATTTATTTTATTAGAAGATAAAATTAAGGTTTCTCTAATTATGTTGATCATGTTAAAGTTTGATGATGTTACGGGTAGGTTACTATATACTATTCAGCAGCTGCCTACTGATCCATTCACTCCTCCAGCTGTCAGAGTAAAGGACAGAGTGATATCAGACTATCAGTCCTTGTACTTTATACCTTCTGGTCTCCTTTCCTTTTATCATGGTCAAGTCCTTTTTATTGCCAAGGAAAGGATTGAGAGAGAAGTGGAACTTCTGGATACTATTATTTATCTATGGTTCTATATATAATTGTAATTGACCCTCTAACTATAGGTCTTGTTCCAATAGTGATCAATAGATCAAATATGAACCAATTAATTCAAGTGTGTGATATCATCTCATACCAGGCCACTCTAAAGTCACATAATTATATACTACACGCAGTCATTGAATAGAGATTTATCCAGCAATCAGTGTTGCACCAAATTTAAAAAAATTCTAAAAATTCTATTTTTTGACACCTTGTTAGCACTTCATTGTGTAACTGGAGGTGTAAACAAGCTTGTAATTTATGTGAACAAGTTTGAGCTCTAAGGTCACATATACTACAGTCATTGAGTGGAGATTTATACAGCAACTAATTTTAAAAATTTCTTTTAAAAAAATCTATTTTTTGACATTTTGTTAGCAGCTCATTGTGTAATTTGAGGTGTAGACAGGCTTGTAATTTATGTGAATAAGCTTGTAATTTGGTATAGGCTATTCTGGACTAGCACTTTGTTAATTGCATGAATGTATGTATGTGACAATAATCTGATGCATCCTAATTAATGCTGTATCATTTTCATTTGGTTCTTAATTATTATGCAACACATACTGATAGCTAATGAAATTGAAAACTGATTAAACAGCTTTTGTCAAAATGAAAGTGCTGACCACTGCCTGTCCCCCCTCTCTCTCTTACCAAGAAACCTTGGAAGAAAGGGAGAGGAGGAGGGCAGAGGAGAGAGCACTTATTCCAAGAAATGATAACATGTGATCAACACACACACACAAAGAGGCAAGCACTTATTGATTGATTGATAATACTAGCATTAGGAATGAGATCATGCATGGCCATACATTGCATCACAGAGTACATTCATAATGAATTACATCATACACAAAATATACATCATCATTAGGTTATTATTATTATTATTATTATTATTATTATTAAATATCAACAAAATTATATTCATTACTATCATTATTATTAGTATCATTATAGTTCTGACTGAGTGTATATAAGTGTGTGTGTGTGTGTCTGTGGATGTTTGTTAGCGATCGACTTCACCAAATACAATATCTTGAGTACCTGCACATAAATGAATAAGGCATTAACATGAAACCTCATTTAAAGACTAACCAATGATAGCTACAACATCAGCCAACATGTGGCCCTTACTCATCATATGGAGTCCAGCCTATTAGAAGGTAGTGAGTGTTTATGCACTAATTGTAATAATTATAATAATTACCAAATGATAGAATCCTGGTGCTCTGATCTTGCATCTATAAGGTTTACTGGAACCATCAGACACCAAATATACACCAAATTCACCCTGAGAAAGAAAGAAAGAAGGAGGAAAAACAGAAAAATCAAAGCCATGAATAATAATAATATTAGTAATAATAATAAGTATATTAATAATAATTTAACTGGTCACTATATTTTAATAATTAATGTATGTCTTAGTGTAGGCCTTGGTTTTTTTCTGTTGTATAATAATAATAATTATAATAATAATAATAATAATAATAATAATAATTGCTTACTTTAGGTGCTTCAATGGCAGTATAGGTAGAACCAGGTGGTACGTTGTATCCTTCAGTAAACAGTTTAAAGTGATGAATCAAAGCCTCCATTGAATCCTATGAAATAGAGACTCAACCAACACGCCTTCTTGTAAACCACACCTACCTTCATCTCCGCTCTTTTGGGCGGGGTTATCTTAGCATCGTCAACCTTTACCTCTCCCTCAGGCATTTGGTTCATGCACTGTAGAATGATCCTTAGACTCTGTCTCATTTCCTCCATGCGACAGAGATATCGATCATAGCAATCACCATTGGGACCGATGGGGACATCAAAATCGACCTCATCATAAGCATCGTATGGTTGGACCTTCCTTAGATCCCACTTGACACCAGAACCTCTTAACATTACACCACTGGGGAGAGAGAGAGGGGGGAGGGAGAGAGGGAGGGAGGGAGAGAGGGGGAAGAGATAGAGAGAGGGAGGGAGGGAGAGAGAGAGAGAGGGACGGGGAGAGAGAGAGAGAGAGAGAGTTGAAATTAAGCTGATTCTTTGCATGATAATTAAATTTGTAAATTAATTAAAATTTAGCCAACAGCCTTATGTACTATAGCCCATGGTATTTCATCAAAAATAGCGAAGAGAGGTTTTTTACATTTCCTGGTGCATATACATGTACATGTACATGTTCTTATCTTGTGTAAAAATGATACAGAAACTATAATCGATAGTACACTGGTCATAATCTCTACAGTCACATTCCATTCAGTTTCCTGTGATGCGAATGCTATAAAGGAAATCGTGACATACTTCCTTCCTCCAACATGTAAATGTACATGGAGGCATCACTATAAGCTACTGGTGTATACAAACCTTACGTTACAAGAACTGGTAATTACATCATGTGTGACATACAAAGTACACGTACACTCATACATGTACATGTACATGCGTTCACATAATAAACGAATCACATGTACACCCTCCACACGTGTGTCTGTTTACTATGCACACTCTAGCATCAGTTATATCATCAATTGATGTTGTCAGTGTTTTTGTTATGAGAAGTGACAAAAGGGAATAGCCATGGACACAAGGGGAAGAGAATAAATTTTTGCTGATAAGGAGTATTTTGATAAGGAGTATTTTGATAAGGATCACATGTATTATACTCATAAGTGAGGTCTTTACCTGAAGCCATAGTCCAGTGCTGTCTGTACAGGCACCACGCCTATATCTACCACTCTCTGCTTCCATATTCTGTTATTAGTTAATAACTAGGAGAAAGGAAAAGAGAGAGAGAGCGAGTGAGAGTGAGAGAGTTTGTGTAGCATTTTAAATAAAAAAGAGCAGACGTTCAAAAGTATACTAACCTCCTCCACCTCGTCAAGACGAACAGAAAAATTCGAAATGAAATCATAAATATCGTCCATCAGTCCGAGAGGAAGATCCTGAGCCACGCCTCCAGGACGAACGTATGCTGCATGCAACCGAGCGCCCGAAACCCTCTCGTAGAACTCCATCATCTAAAAAGAGAACCGATGAGCCTTAGGTATATTATGCATCTTTCTATACTTTTTCTCTTTCCTCAAAAAGCCACAGGAAAGGAGTATTGGCTCCAACATCAAGGATATGACTGGTGACTGACATTATGTGGTTGAGTATTCTGGTGATCTCTCCAAACATGGTGCGTATGTACTTGGCTCTTTTTGGAACCTCTATGCCAAGGAGATTCTCAACGGCAAGAGAGAAGCACTGCTCATTGCACATCATTGATACGTAATCCAGTCTGTCAAAGTATGGCAGAGCCTAGAAAGAGAGAGAGCGAGAGAGAGAGAGAGGTAGAGAGAGAGAGAGCGAGAGAGAGAGGGGGGAGAGAGAGAGAGGGGGGAGAAAGGGAGAGAGAGAGAGAGGGAGAGGGAAGGAGAGAGAGAGAGAGGGAGAGGGAAGGAGAGAGAGAGGGGAGAAAGTGTGGTAGGAAAAGAGTAACAGTGGGAAAGGGAAAGGCCAAAAGTACACAAGGAAAGGTGAGCCAAATCCAATAAAGGAAAAGAGACAGAGAGTAGCAAACAACTCAAAGGTCAACCTCATTATAGTAAACTTATTGTTATCAAAAGTCAGAGTGCAACTACATGTACATGTACATGTATATACAATGCATTTTTTATTCTACTGTATGTGTTTACTTGAAGATACGTCTTGTATTCAATCAATTTCTCTGTCCCTCTGTGTAGCAAACCAATGTGAGGATCACACTTTACTACAGTCTATCAAACAAAAATAATAACAAATAAGCAAAATTAAAATACATGTATTATTAATAACAAATAAACAAATAGCCCTAATTTTATTTAAATATTATTAATATAAAATAGGTACTGTCATAATGAAGTTCTTACTTCTCCGCTGAGTTCCATGACTAGACGAAGTACCCCATGGGCAGCAGGATGCTGGGGACCAAAATTCATTGTCAGATTAGTGATTGGTTTCGTTGGGACAAAGTCTAATTAATGAAAGGGTGGAGTTAATCAAATAGCATGGAGACCCTGTACTATAGTACAGGGACTTTAAAAATTCAGTAAAAATCTAATTTTGATTAGAATCAGTTCAAACTTGATGTACATTGTACAACCCGATAGTTCCACTGTCACGAAATCCGTGACAAGCAAAAACCCATTAGTTCCACTGTCACGAAATCCGTGACAAGCAAAAACCCATTAGTTCCACTGTCACGAAATCCGTGACAAGCAAAAACCCATTAGTTCCATTGTCACGAAATCCATGACAAGCAAAAACCCATTGGTTCCAATGTCACGAAATCTGTGACAAGCAAAAACCCATTGGTTTCATTGTCACAAAATCCGTGACAAGCAAAAACCCATTAGTTCCACTGTCACGAAATCCGTGACAAGAAAAAACCCATTGGTTCCATTGTCACGAAATCTGTGACAAGCAAAAACCCATTAGTTCCATTGTCACGAAATCCGTGACAAGTAAAAAACCCATTGGTTCCATTGTCACGAAATCCGTGACAAGCAAAAACCCATTAGTTCCATTGTCACGAAATCCGTGACAAGCAAAAACCCATTAGTTCCACTGTCACGAAATCCGTGACAAGAAAAAACCCATTGGTTCCATTGTCACGAAATCTGTGACAAGCAAAAACCCATTAGTTCCATTGTCACGAAATCCGTGACAAGTAAAAAACCCATTGGTTCCATTGTCACGAAATCCGTGACAAGCAAAAACCCATTAGTTCCATTGTCACGAAATCCGTGACAAGTAAAAAACCCATTGGTTCCATTGTCACGAAATCCGTGACAAGCAAAAACCCATTAGTTCCACTGTCACGAAATCCGTGACAAGCAAAAACCCATTAGTTCCATTGTCACGAAATCTGTGACAAGCAAAAACCCATTGATTCCATTGTCACTATAAATCCAAAACTTTTGCCAGATTTTTGAGCAACTTCAAAAATTTGTAATTTGATCCAAATTTGATCCGGATCAGTTTAAACTTTCTACACAACATGAAAACATGTATATGTATCAGAAAAAATTATTAAAATCCAAAATTCTCTCCTAGTCATTTTTGGCGAAATTTGGCCAGCGACCCTGTACTATAGTACAGGGACTTTCGCCCAATTTTTGAGTAACTTTAAAAATTCATAACAAATCCAATTTTGATCGGAATCAGCTCAAACTTTCTACACAACATAAGAACATGTATATGTATCATAAAATATTATAAAAATGCAGAATTCTCTCCTAGTCAATTTTGGCAAAATTTGGCCAGCGACCCTGTACTATAGTACAGGGACTTTCGCCCAATTTTTGAGTAACTTTAAAAATTCATAACAAATCCAATTTTGATCGGAATCAGCTCAAACTTTCTACACAACATAAGAACATGTATATGTATCATAAAATATTATAAAAATGCAGAATTCTCTCCTAGTCAATTTTGGCAAAATTTGGCCAGCGACCCTGTACTATAGTACAGGGACTTTCGCCCAATTTTTGAGTAACTTTAAAAATTCATAACAAATCCAGTTTTGATCGGAATCAGCTCAAACTTTCTACACAACATAAAAACATGTATATGCATAAGAAAAAATTTTTAAAATGAAGAATTCTCTCGAAGCCATTTTTGACAAAATACCCTAGGGGTACTATCATTATCATGGTTTTTGGCCAAACTTTGGAGTAATTTTAAAAATTTCTATAATACATGCACATGCATAAACTTTCTATACAATATATGTATACATAACATTTCTTGCTGACTTAACATACAAGCAGATGCTATGCTGGAAATGCTTCTTGGTGAGCACAATTAGCTTATTTTTATTTGCGCCATGTACATGTACATATTTTCCAGTATTATTAATATTATTTTAAAAAATGAATACACATAAATTAAACAGCAATTCAGTATTATTGAGGCATACTTGTGACGTCCCATATAGCAGAGTCTTCGTTAGGATAAAGAACGTTCCCAGCCCAGTCATTTAGTTTACCAGGTAGTTTTACTGGCTCCAATTCCTTCAGTGTCTCGTAGTTTATTTCTGGTCCTTTTCGATATAAGGAGAATCTGAAACGACACAAAATTTAACATAACAAGCAACCAGGGTCTTTAAATACTTTCTAGCTCCAGATAGACCTCGCAATAAGAGAGAGGATTGCTGAAGAAGACGTCTACTGCAAGTTGTTGCGGCCGCCATTTTGATTGTTGTTCAATAGGCGGGGCTAACCGGCCGTTAGCTAGTGGGTGTGGTCTTAATTAAATTTTAATCAATTAGGTGGGAATTAATGCAACGTGCCTCGTGCATGTGTAGAGTCGCTTGACTGAGAGAAAAGGGAAAAGCAAGCTCACAAGCCGTCGCCAGGGAGTCTAGAGATTGCAGAAAGGGTTTTAAATTCGTGTGAGTTTGGATATTGTCATTTTTTAAAAATATTGCTTTACGCAACTGCCTATAATATATAATTTTGCTTTTATGATGGACCTTGTAAACTACAGCTTGTTATTGGCTATTGTACATGCATGTCAGCAACGCCTACTACAAGCAAGGAAAAGAAAACCCTGCAGTTATTTTTAATTTCCTTAAATCACCAGTGCACGTGTGAGTGGTCTAAATCTAATTGTCATAAATATTGCATTATTCGTTTTAATTAGTATCTGGTGTTGATTGCATAGACCATTATATTGGGTGTGCATACTGTCTGTGTTATTTTAATGGGATAGTCTCATGGTTTACTTGAAACTGTATTCTGTTGCATTTTGCATGCATTACTGCAACAAGCTATGATCATTTGTACAGTTTTGCAGGAGAGGTCTAATGGCAGAAGGGCCTGCTAACTGCTCCATACCTTTGTATCGGAAGAGGAAAGCTCCAGATCATCTAGCTAGTCCTTATACAGCTGCAAAGCATCTTGAATTATCGCCTAGCCCAGCTCCTGACTCAACCCTTAGTCCTAACCAACCTGTCGAGAATTATGTCGATCCAATTGAAGAATTGAAGTCGCTGGAAGAAGACATGAGCAACTTCCGTCGTTTCAGTGGACGGAGCAAAAAGCAGACCAATTTCTTTTGTCCCATTGCACCTGCTAGTTTTCATAGGAGGCGCAGCAATAGCGCTACCAATGCAGCTGTTCGAGCTTTGAAATTTCCTTCGTCGACAAGCCCAGTGGACTCAGGAGGACCTGCTGGGATTGCAGCTAGTGAAGAGAAGAAGGAAAGTATTGACAATGGAGAGGGTGAGGATAAAGTGGTCGCTGCTATGGAGATAGCCACTGGGGAAGAAGTTGAGATAAACAAACCACAAAAACCTCAAGTGAGTTTAAGAGGTTATACCTAAGACGCCACATGTATTTAATCAATGCCATTTTATGCAGCAGCAGACAGTTCCACAAGAGATCAAGAAGCTGCCCATTGGGTCATTGATATGGGGCAAGCTCCCAGGGTATGAATGGTGGCCTGGCTGCATTATAAGCTTTGACAAGAAGAAGCTGATTGAAGTAGTGAAAGATGAAGATGATGATGATGAGGACACAGAGGAGGACGAAGAAGAGAAAGAGGAAGATGGGGGTGAGTCTGTTTGGGTCAAGTGGTATGGTGACAATCAACTATCTCAGGTTAGAAAAGAAATTTAATTTTTTGACCTCGTTTTAACTTTAATTTTTAGATCTCATTTAAAAAGATATTCCCTTTTGGCAGCAACTTTCTGGAATTTTTCTCTCCCAATAAATTAAGGGGACTTTATAAGAAAGCAGTAGTCAATTCATTGAAGGTACATATGCATGGAATATGGCCTAGCTCAAAAATTAACAATTGAAATTTAAGAGAGAAACCACAAGCGTATTTTCTAAGATTTTATGAACCATTTATTATTAATAGGAAGCTGCAAGGCGTTGTTCAAAGGATATCGGTTGCACACTTGATGAAAGGAAGCCATCTTGGATATTTCATTCCTCTCAGTTTCAAGTCTTCCTTGATGAAAGAAAAGCACTCAATAATTTGACACAAGAGGAGGCAATTGAAGCAACTCCGGAGAAAATTGAACAAGGAGAGGTACTAACATTGCAAATGATAAGAGTGGGATCTCTTATAATCAAAACTTATGCTCGCCTTTAGAAAAGTCCAGTGTATTCTCCCGATTCTTCTTTTCCTAATCTCCAACAAGAAGAGAGCAGCATCTTCACTCAAATTGAATCAGATCAAGAGTCTGACAGTTCTCCTGCTAATGGTGTCAAAGAGAAGGGAGGTGGAAGAGGAGCTAAAAAGACCAAGACTGGACAGTTTCTTCTCTCACTGATGGAAAAGGATCTCCTCCAGTGGGCACTAACAGGGTTCCTACCTACCGGCCCTGATGGATTTCGACCACGTCCAGGTAAAAAGTTTTTATATAACTCAAGCTGTTTTAAAATTTTTTATATGTATTAAAGAGCATTTGATTGATATTAAGATGTTTCCTTTTGGTGAGAGTCCTGCCCCTGGTAATCAGTTCATAATTAAAAGGAATGAGCTGCCAATGGAGAGGGGGAGAGCAGTAATTGATCACGACTATGACAAGAAACCAGAGAATAAGTTAGTACTCCTGCAACAGAGAAACAAAGGTTAGATTTGAATCATTTGATGCATGAGTAAATGACATTAATTTTTTGCTTTTTTCTTTCCATTTTTCAGCTCAGTTTGAATTGATAAAATTGGGGCAGCTAGCAATTGAAAGTAAAGGAACAAAAGATTATTACTGACTCTTTTCTCTTCCATAGACATCTGTATTGCATGTGGCAGTGTTAATATATCTGCACAGCATCCTTTGTTTTATGGTGGGCTCTGTAAGCACTGCAAAGTAAGCAAGCAACCACATTTATATGTTTGAAATAACTATAATTTTTTTATAGGAGACATTCATGGAATGTGCTTATATGTTTGACGAAGATGGGTCACAGGTAGAAATTTTGAAATAGTTTTTTTGTAATTTTATTTTTTCTTAGATGTACTGTACTATATGCTCAGGTGGCAGTCAAGTCTTCATGTGTGACACTCCAAACTGTTCAAAGTGAGTTGACCAAGTATCTGTAGTAGCTGGATCCTCCACTTTTAGAGTTTACTGCAATCCTTGCATTGAGAAGCTCTGTGGACCAGAAGAAAGAATGAAAGTATAAAACTTTTTCCTTCCTAAAATAAGAAATAATATTTTTAAAAACACGTTTAGGTTCAAGATGCAACAGAGTGGCAGTGCTACATGTGCTCTGGAGAGATGAATGGTCTACTAAGGAAGAGGGAAGACTGGGATAAGAGACTCCATGATCTCTTTGTCACTGACATTGAGACTGAGTTTGTTAGTACATAATGTTAAAAATTAGTCCAAGTATCTATTTGATTTTTTTCCCATAGGAGCCACCAAAATTCTTTCCTCCAATTCCAGCAGAGATGAGGAAACCAATGCGAGTGTTGGGTCTGTTTGATGGAATAGGAACAGGTTAACTTTATATGCTTTACTGTCACAATTGGAATGAAAGCCTCTTCAATAGGTTTGTTGGTATTGAAGGAGCTTGGCATCAATGTTGAAGTGTACATTGCCTCTGAGATTGATCCTGATGCAATCAAGGTGAGAGTCTATAGTTATAATAACATTATAATGTCACATGATCAGGTCTCACGTATAAAGCATCCAGAGATTATTCACGTAGGAGCAATTGAACAAGTGACAGAGAAAGAGGTAGCAATTATTAGTCTTTATCATGTGACTGTCGTGGTCATATGTGTGTGTGTAGGTAAGGAGTTGGGGTCCTTTTGATCTTGTGTTTGGCGGTAGCCCTTGCAATGATCTCTCAATAGTCAATCCAGCAAGAAAAGGAATTTATGGTCAGTGAGAGAAAGAGAGGATCATAATATGATTGTGCTCATTTTAGATGGAACTGGCAAGTTGTTCTTTGAGTTTTTCCGTATCCTCAGTTATGCCAAACCACAGCCACAAGATGAGAGACCATTCTTTTGGCTTTACGAGAACGTAGTATCAATGAGGGCTCCAGACAAGAAAATAATATCAAGATTCCTACAGGTACTGTATGGAGTATACAGATAATGTTGCTGTTTATTATTATGTTTGTAGTGTAATCCTGTTGTTGTTGATGCTAGAGATATTTCTGCTGCTCACAGAGCTCGTTTCTTCTGGGGTAACCTCCCAGGAATGAATAGGTACAGAGTGAGAGGGTGAGACAGTCAAATGTCTCTTCTCTCTTCCATAGACCAGCTGTTCCTTTACCTGGTGACCGCCTCACATTGCAAGACTGCTTAGAACCAAACTGCTTTAGGCACGCACAAGTATACAGCTAGTATTACTTTATAGTTGATTGATCTTTATTGCTAGTTTACTAAGTTGCGTACAATCACCACAAAAATGAATTCAATCAAGCAAACAAAGAGAGCCATATTTCCTGTTCGTGTTTTTAGTGGTGGCATGTTTGATATCACTGGAGAGGGAGAGGAGGAGGAGGGAGACGTCCTTTGGTGCACTGAAATGGAAAGGTTCACTAAACTTTTTTAATTGTTTACATTTTCTTGTTGTTGTTTATAAAGGTTGTTTGGTTTTCCTGACCATTATACAGACGTAGCTAATCTTGGGCGATCCGGAAGACAGAAGTTGTTAGGAAAGGCATGGTCTGTACCAGTAATAAGGCATTTACTATCACCACTGAAGGTAACAATAGACATTGTAATACTTTTAGTATAATTGACTCATTATGCCCCCTCTTTCTCTCTCTCTCAGGATTATTTCAAGTCTGATACGACTGGTGTGCCTTCTTCCCTCAAACAGACCCACATACCCATTACTCCTGTTTCCATAACAACAGCTCCTCCTGCTCCGGTTCTGCCAGTCATTGCCCCGCCCCCTAAGTACCTCAGCCCTGAGCCAGAGACTGTCATTGTTATCATGAAAACCGACGAAATGGACTAGTCGCCGTAACGCGCCCACTTATTGCGCTATAAGATACTTCTCTCATTTATTCCCTTAACCACCAGTACAATACTTTTTTGTTTATTTTTGCTTATCACTTAATTTGAGTTGACGCCATTTATCAATATTCATTTATCATTATTCTCATTTAATCTATTATTAATTCATGAACTAGTAATGACCGCTAATGATTATGATAAATGTCTGTCCTCTTTGTCCTTTTCTCCCACTAAAGAGGAGGGTCCTGTTTCCATAGAAACTCTTCGTTGTACCCTGGAGACGAGAAGCAGTTGGAGGAACAGGTATACACTAAGAGTGTTCCCCAATCAATGGAAGACTGAGATGGGCTGGAGTCCAACTTGAGATAATACAGTAACTGTGGCATAATCTGAAAAGAAATTAAAAAGAAGATAGTAGCTATTGGTTTAATCTGATGTGTATTCTTGCAGGGTTTCCCACAGGATTTTGGCATAGTCCTCATGCAGCTTCTTGTCAGTGGATTGTTACGTTGTCAGTGGATTGTTACGTTGCTCAAAAAGTTAAGACCCAGTAGTAGTAGTAGTAGTAGTAGTAGTAGTACAGGGAATTTTGACAAAAAATCACAAGGAGAGAATTCTCCATTTTTAAATTTTATTCTGATACATATACATGTTCTCATGCTGTGTATCAACTTTGAACTGGTTCTGAACAAATTTGGATTTTTTATGAATTTTTAAAGCTGCTCAAAAATCAGGCCAAAGTCCCTGTACTATAAGGCCAAAGTCCCTGTACTATAGTACAGGGTTGTTGGTCAAATTTCATCAAAAATGGCTAGAAAAGAATTCCCTATTTTAATAATTTTTTCTGATACATATACATGTTCTCAGGTTGTGTATTAACTTTGAACTGATTCTGATCAAATTTGGAGTATTTATAAATTTTAAAAGTTGCTCCAAATTGCTATAATACTGTTTTTAGCTCATGAAGCATGCTGTTTACCTCCATTAGCATGCTTTGTGGAAAACCCTGATTTGTTGTGGTAAATTGTATAAGAGAAGCATAGAATTACCTGAAACTCAAACTGTCTTGGAGACTGGCATTTGTTACATGTTGGTACTGACGATGGTGACTGAGAAGGATCACCAGATATCAGCAAAGGATCACCGCCTGGTTGAAAACGTATTACCTACAATACAATAGAGAATCAATAACCAATCAACAGTGATCATAAAACAATCAATCATTGATATAATGTGATCTGGGTGACCTGATCAGGCTCAATGGAGACCCTCTGCTTGAATTTACTAAAGGTTTTATCTTCACTTTTCGGCATCTTTAAATCCTCAAAATCCTTGCAACCTTCCTCTGGCAACTTGGACTTGCTGTATTGTTCAGAACTTACATAATTCTCATATGCAGCCATTCTGAGAAAAGGAATCATCACAAAGGCACTATATGGATTCTTCTCACCGTTCCTCTTCACTAGGAATAGTATAATTTGGCTCAGTTTCCGTAACAATCTCATACTCTGCCAATAATATCCCACTGACCATTGAAGCCTTGGCCACTTCATCAATCTCCTTACCTAAAATAGATAAAATAGAATATTTCAATAATAATAAGTGATAATGAGTGTTTCTGTTAAGTGAATGAGCATGCTAACAAGCAAACATAACGAAGTAAACACTCATCTATTATTAATAACAGTGAAATTACCGTTTTTAAAGTCTTTACAATCAGCTTTGTGATTTATCTTCCAATCCAGTAGCTGATGATACCGGGAGCAATAATGAACCTTGCGACACTGCCCACATTTATTAGGAGCAGGGCAACCACATAGGCCACACAACGGAGACGGGTTAGATAAAGAATAAGAATCCTCATCCTTGACTGGGAGCAAGTCACGAGTAGACTCCGCCCCCTCTTCGCTCGGATAATAGGGATTCCCCCGGGGGAGATTACATCTTAGAACCCTGAACGGCAAGAGCGAGGACTTTTCCTTGTGACAGTCGGGATCTGTGCACATAAAAACAAAGAGACTACGGTGATAGGTCTCGGGGTGGTCAGACAAAGGAGCGTACATCTGTAGGAGGAGGAGACAAGGTTTCTGACAAATGAGGCATTCCAATTGTTTGGTGGTTGGAAGGTGGACGGGGTCCAGCCAGACGGGCATACCACCAACTTTACTGGGGAAGTAGTTGCTGCTCGTTTGGCTTGAGACGGAAGACGAAACACAGCTGGGTTGCTCCTCTAGGAAACCGAGCTCCACTTCGCTCTCCATCTTGACGGCCATTTTGAGAGCACGTGTTTGGGATAAACGATCTACCGTGTTTCTCCGGATATGGGCTGGCTGTTTTTAACGATATTCATGCTTCAAGATCACGTGATTAGCAAACAAACATGGCGCAGAAGCTTGTTTCTTTTGGCACGAAATTGGCCACTTCTTCCAGCCGCCTCGTCTTCAAATCACTTGAAAAGAGTCAAGGTAACTCTTAAAATACCCAATGTACATTAGAAGAGGCTTTAAAATAAAAGCATGATGGAGATTCTCTCTTTATTTCTCTCTATCACCCTCTCTCTCTCTTTCTTTTTCAGACCTAGCCAATAGATCGCGTCCCCATTTAAAGAAGTTTTGGAGTCTTGCTAGAGTTGAGTTAGATCCTCCTCGTCCGTCCCAATGGCCCGAGATACAACGAGGGCTTGCAAAAGTAGCACATACAGCAAGAACAGGTGAAATAATAGAACATAGCAATACATTAACAATTATAGTCAATGTGCATGCATTTTTATTATTAATAATAAATTTTGCATTCTTGCATGCATCATTTAATATTAGGTATAATGTTTTAATGTTTCTCCTCTCTCCACAGGTGCTTTCCTTAATAAGCCAATGAAGGAGGTTGTACAGCAAAGTCTCGTAGGGTTTGATATTTTCTGTTGGTTTATTGTCGGGGAGATGATAGGACGATGGAGTATCATAGGATACAACGTTTAGGCCATTCAACAAAACACGTTACTCTATTATTAATTAATTATGTAGCTCTCATTATGTATTAAATTAATAACTAATAATTAGCAATTATTATTATTGTGATTACAAAGTACAATTTCTCGACTGCCCAGCAGTGCAAGGTGATGTCTAGAGATGTTTATTTAAGTGTCAAAAGCTTGCAAGAGTATTGTATAAAATGCTTGAATGTCAGAGAAGCTGTTATAAAGTGGAGCAGGTGCTATCCTCATCATGGGAGAACGACAATCAATCTGAAATAATTATAATAATTATTATTAGAAAATATGTACATGTATATGCAGTACAGGGACTTTGGTCTGGTTTTTGAGCAAATTAAAAAATTCGTATAAAATCCAATTTTGATCAGAATCAGCTCAAACTTTTAAGCAACATGTATATGCATCAAAAAAATTTATAAAAATGAAGAATTCTCACCAAGTGATTTTTGGCAAAATTTGGCCTGAGAAACTCAGTGATTTACGGTCTATGCTTTTGAACAGGCTTTTATATTACTAGACAGCTGCTACTTACCATGACTCCTCTCTCCTTCACAAATTTTGTTATATCTTCGAGAGGACATGAGAACTTGACTGATAATTGACACCCTCTCTCGCTGACATTCCTTGAAGTCACTATAGTCACATGACCTATAAGGCATGTGACATGATATGCAAGTTTTAAGGCGTTCACTTACTGCTAAGATTCTCTTCTATCAGTAATTCAAGATATCCTGTTAGTATGCGTGATTTTATGCATAACTCAGCCATTGATGTCTTCTTGAATATCTAGAAATAAAGAGAAACTAGTATTATACTAAGTTACTGATAAATTTAATCTTTATTGCAACCAGTCCAATAAAACAACTACAATATAGCTACAGCATTTACTTACTTCCATGCTAGCAATCATCCCCATAATAGAAAGTGTAGGCGGATTTGATATTTTAAAACCATCGGCTCCAGGGGCCAGCTGTATCTCTGCAAAAAAATATACAAACACTTGACTCAATCAACTTAATCAAACACTAACTTCTCTTCATGTCCATTCTAGTATCACTGCTATGTGCCCACCAGCCTACAAATCTGAAAAAAATTAAAGTATCAGTATAAATATGGTACCACATACCTTGGTCTGTCAAAATCATATGCATGTTTTTCATGTACAAAGAAACCCGCCAGGCAACCAGGCCCTGAATTCATATATTTATATGAGCACCAGGCTGCCACGTCGACGCCCCATTCGTGTAGACTCATTTCAATATTTCCGGCAGCATGTGCTAAATCAAATCCTACATAGCAACCCTACAATTTATGAATATGCATAATTTAAAATAAATAATAAATATTATTGTCTACTTTTGCATGTCCAGCCTCAGTGATTGATTTCATGTCAAAAACATGCCCAGTGGAAAAATGTATTCCTAATAATTAAATAATAACTAGTTAATAACTACTGGTGGAACCTGGTAGCCATATTAGCGCTATACTTTCCCCATGCTCTTCAATCACATTCAGTATGTCTTCATTCCTCCATATGGATTCACCCTAAATAATTAATATTTTATTATTGCAACCAATAGCTAAAAGGAAAATGTTTTTTCCACTCACTTCTCTGGGTTTAATATATATTGCTGCCTCTTTTGGATCATAGCCATGGAAGTTAAGTTGTGACTCTACCACAAACTAAAAGAAAAGAGATAAAACTGAAGGATGTTTTGGTTCTTATAGCATTAGCATGGAGTTTATAATCAAATTATTATTTCTTACATGATCAGAAGGAAAAGCATCTTTCTCCATAAGGATCTTATAGCGTTGAGGAGTTGGGGAATAGAACGATACCTGTGACCATGTGACAGTCATGTGACAATTGTGACTGCACTTACCATAGCTAGATGACAGTTCACTGATAATGTATTCATAACTACTGTTTCAATGGGTTTCGCTCCTAGTAGTAGTAGTAGTAGTAGTAGTAGTAGTAGTATAGGTAATATTTAAAATTTAGTAGTTGTCAACTTTATGAATATTTTTTACCAACAATCCTTGCATTTTCATCTTTAACAAAATCATCTATTGAGTACCAGTCGTAGGTCCCATCCATATGACCATACAATCCTCTTTAAAAAAGAAACAAAAAATGAATAGTGTTAAATAATTTCTAAATATAAATGTTAATTGTATCCTAATTGTGTTAATTGTATTTTTACTTTTTCCCCCATTTATCCATTTCAATAGATAGAAGTTCTTTGGCATTTTTTGGTTGTAGTCCTAACGAGTTTCCAACCAAATAAATACACTCAGCAGACAAATCAAGGCCTACATAAGGTACAGTTAATATAATGATAGTTGTTCTTGGTTTTATACCATCAGCTTTTGCTCTTCCTTCCAGTAGCTCTCCAATTTTTGGTATGTTAAACTCTTCTCTTAATTTTTTCAACTGATCCCGTGAGTCAAGAGCTACAGCAAACTGAGGATCAGACAATGAGAGGCCTAGCTGGCTCGACAGGTCCTTCAGGTAACCATGAATCTCTTCCCTTGTCCTAAGATCCGGTAACTCTGCAGACGACATGATGATACTGCTATACCATACCACGCCTTCTTTTCACACATTGTCACACCTTCAATTGCGTGGGAGGGCTCAGTAATGGGTGTTTCTTTGTTTGTTGTTATAATACTTTGCCAAGTTTGCTTTTCTGGTAAGTTCTAATTTTGAGATTAAAAATTTAAATTATTTTAGGTACAAATATATCATTCATTATTGTACCAGTGACGCAATATGTATATGTCAATGATACTGTGACATTTGAATGTGCTACTAATCTGACTCAATGTGTTCCCTTTTTTGTGACTTATCCATCAGTTAATGGTTCAGTATTATCCTCTGCTGGAATGGCATCACTCACCCTAACAGCAACAAGTGAAGAAAATGGTACAGAAGTTACCTGTAGAGTACATTTCCTCAATGGAGCAACATTTACTACTGAACCAGCATATCTATATGTACAAGGTCAGTATAATGTTGATCAATAAAGTGACTTCAATCATTTATTTAGTTTGCATTATTGTTACACTTTTACATTTGCATCAGCTAGTCAACTGAACAATTTTTTGCTATCATTCCCAGGTCTACCTGATAGTGTCAGTGATTTAACAGGATATCAGTTAGATTCTTGTTGTATGTTTATCAGTTGGTTTCCTCCATTCACACTACCAGGACTAACAGTACAGTATATAATCAGTGTAGGAACTGATCAACAGTACCTTAATGACTCTATCACTAACTACACTTACTGTCCAATGAACCCAACCAATAAACAATATCTGTTTAACATTACAACTACTAATAAAGCTCGAGATGGATCTACTAGTAACATAACTGTTGGATTTCAATCAACAAGTAAGTAATTATACTTATTGAGAGCCTAAAGTGATTATTCTATACAGTAGATGTACAGTTATATGTAACTGATAAGGAAAGAGGGAATGTAAATTGGACTTTTCATTTCATTGTATCTGTAAGTTCCCTAATGAGATTAATCATAGCCAGCTATGATAGCTTTATAGTAATATTAAAAAGTAGTGTTAAATGATGATAGACAGACTATAGTATTATAATGTATTATAGGTAATGTGTAATAAATGTACCATGTATTATATTGTATAGTCTTTATTGTACTTAATAATGATATCCCCCCCCCCATGGTGTGTTTACTGTGTTGTGATTACCTGCTTAAGAAAACATTTTCAGGTTCATCAGTTTTGTACTAATGTACCACCACTAATGAACATTACATTGAAAGGGTGTACTAAGGATAACTGTTATTCAACAACAAATGTATCCATAAGCAATAGTTCTTATAATAACATTTCACTTGTTGTTCAATTTCCATCAAATAAGACACTGAATACTAATGCTACCTTGTACTATCAAAATGGAGTTACAGTTCAAAGCAACACTATAACAATCAGTAAGTAATACACAATTAATACATTATGATATTTACTTATTTTAAGGTACTCATGACCTGAACTTGACATTGATTAATGTTACATCAAATTCTGTTTGTGTTCAGTTTCAGTTTGTCAATGGCAGTACACTTTATATTGATTACATTCACATTATTGATAGTCAAGGCCAGTTTCATTGGGATGACTTCAAACCTTTTAATGATTCA